GGGTTTGAACCGCCAGCCTCCTGGTTAGCAGTCAAGTGTCTTAGCCACTATGCTACCAGAGCTCTCATTAAAATGTCTCATGCACATTCTGGTAATAGAGTCCATCTGAACTCTTGAAAAGAGTTTTTAGTGGAGTACTTGGCTTGAACATGTATGCACACATGCCAGTGGAAAGTGTTCTGTGTGTTTAAGAAATGTGTAATGGTCTCAACCCATAGACACTTCATCCATGAATTTTTTCGTACTCAATTTTCTAGAGGCATTTTGAACATCAGCAACAGTAGTGCCTGGTTACTCAGCGGCTGCTGTGGTATTCTCAAAACAAAATATATTGGTTTCTAGGCAATAGATTTGAAGGGGATATTGTTGTTGTTGTTGTTATTTGCTGTGGAGTCGGCCCCGACTCATAGCGACCCCTCCTTGGGTTTCCGAGGCAGTATCACTACGGAAGTAGGATTGAAGGGGATAGATGATTGCAATTTTGCCACCAGGAAGCAGGAAAATGGCATTTCATGGAAGCCCTAAACATACTATTTCCCCAATAGGTGGTGGTAATTAGGACTATCTTCCTTTACAAACTTCTTTACCATACTTCTTTACATAACCCATTGAAATCCAGAACTAGATCTGTGAACGTATTAGCCTAGCTGTCTCCTAGGGAGAGAACGGGACCCAGGTCAGATCCCTTCTTACTCTATGTTATGGGTTGAATTATGTCACTTCAAAAATTGGTGTTAAAACCTTAACTTCTGTACCTGTAAATATGACTCTCTTTAAAAATAGGGTTTTTCTTTTGTTGTATTAATGACATCATACCAGGGTAGGGTGGGTTCTCAGTTATAAAAAGAGCAGACTAGTCACGGAGACATATGGGGGAAGATGATGGCATATGAACATACACAAACACACAGGAGATGCATCTACAAGCAATTCCAAGGATTGCCGACTGCTAGCAGCTGAAACAGACAAAGAAGGACCTCCTACAGTCACATCCTGAGTTTAGACTTCTACACTCCTGACCTAAGAGAAAATAAAATTCTGTTAATTAAAACCACCCACTTGTGAATTTTTTTTTTTTGTTATGGCATTACTTGGTAACTAAGAGAGTCAATCTCCCAGTTATTCCTCAAAAGTTCAATTGTAGTTTGATTTGTATTCACCCAAGAAGACCTTGTAGAGTGCCAGAGTTTTCTTTCTGTTCTGAAATTTCTTTCTACTATCCTTTCCTGACCCTAGATTATATTTGAAATCTCTTTCACAAAGGCTTTTCAAAACTGAGGAAATCTAAACATGCAACTGTTTGCTTGACATATTTTGTAGTGTTTAGATTGTATTTCAATTAAAACGCAATCATTCAATCACCTCATTTAAAGGGCTGATATTGATATGCTTACTGTTTCAGGACAGGGAGACTGGTAAAGAAAACAAAAAGGCATTGTGCAGACAACAGTGTGGGAGAAAAGAAATGATGAAGGAAAAGGCTGGAGACCCACTGCAAACTGCTCAATTTTGCTTAAGGCAGGTCCTGTTTATCTTCAACTGGGTGGAGACG